TAATTTGCATAATTAATTTTCAGCTTTTCTACTGATATCTAAAGTACTAATCATCACATTTCAATGAATCTAAAATTATGCAGAGACCCAATTAGTTTTTGGTAAATATTTGTGCATATTAATCACCTAATTTGCATAATTAACCAATTTCCAACTTTCACACTGATATCTCAGGTACTACGGTAATCATCACATATCAATGAATGTTTATACATGGATGCTGTAGGACAATAGACAGACCTGGATAATTGTGGGTTAAAATCTGTACATATTAATTACCCAATTTTCATAATTAACCAATTTTAAGCTTTCACACTGATATCTAAAGTACTAATTTCCATTTTAATGAAACTTAGTACAAAGATGCTCTAGGACAATGTACAAACCTAATTAGTTTGGGGTAAAACTCTGTTCATATTATTTCCCCAATTAGCATAATAATTCATAATTTTTTGGTTCTAATCACATTTCAATTAAACTTGGTACATAGAGTTTTTGTTACATTGCGCAGACCTCATTAGTTTTACAATCAAATCTGTTCATGTTTTTTTTCTGATTTGCATAATTAGTTTTCAGCTAAGTAATTTCAAATTATATTTAATGTGTCTCCAATACTCTCAGCACATGGGAGTTCTTTCTAAGCTTTCTTTGATTGATTGGTTAAGAGCACCGAACAGAACAGGTTACTCACCTCCTAGGTGTGCTTTTGTGATTGGCCCATTTGTTTCAATTGATACCTTATATTGAATAGGTGAAAGGTAAATATGGCTTAATGTAGTAAAATTGATTCACAAAGGTGTCATTTTACATATTGAGGCCATACGTACCTTACCCCTCTTTGTGCTTCACATACCCCTCAGCACACAGGAGTTCTTTCCAAGGACCAAAAAAACAGAAACAAAAACTATTTTTTTTTAGCCTTAGATATATTATAATTGTATTACATCACTTTTGCCGTGGAAGGAAAAGATTGTACCAGGCAGCGAGCACATCGATTGTATCCTTTTTGATTTTGTATTTACCGGGTAATATCTAAATTCTCAGTGGGCAAGGTCATATTTTTGGCAATTTTAAAATGTAATGATTTCTGTTTTTCTTTTCAGCCCCAAATCTTGTATGAACTTGGACTTATAATAATGCTTTCTATATTTTTTTTCAGCCTCCCAGTTACAACCCCAAATGGAAAACCTGTCTTTGAAACAACAAGCTTCATAAACTGTTTATATTTATAAAAGCTCTATATTTTTAAACTCTATTTCATATGCATGTATCAGTTATTGTGTTGACAGTTAAAGTCTTAATATAAATAATGTCTTTATTGCTAAAGTACTAAACTAAAGTAAAGTTCTTGGGAAAAGTGTTCAAAAACCTGAAAAAGTCTGTGCTTTATAAATACCACATCAATCAGTCTTTAATTTTTGTATCTGCTAAAATAGAAACCATGCACCCTTTAGTTGTCTCTCTAATTTCGCTCTCGGGCATTTGGTTCAAAAATAAGACACCATGAAATATTTACTCAAGAAAAAATTCCAGATGATTTTATAATACACTAAACATTAAAAATAATTGAACCCTGTTTCGTTGAAAAAAAACAAGCTAGATCATTAGTACATAATCTAGTCAAATTGTGTCTCGCACAAAGATGTTTTTGAGGTGATGCATTTCTAATTGTTCAGTCATGATTTAATATTTACCAAAGTACAACTTTTGAAATAAATTTTAGTAGTAAAATCATCATTTTTGAAAAGCAGTTTTAAAAGAAGTTAAGGCGAATGGGTTTTCACCTGAGTATGCGCAAGAATTGAATGGGTCCCAAGCGACGATAACATCGGTCGTCAAAAACACAAAAGCTCATGGGTTGACACGCCATGACCATTTTGCTGCAGGTGACTCCCCCTCTCGCTTTAAACAACTTTCATGACAGTGCAATGTCAAAATGTAGTTTGCTGTAAAATTATACAGCACTTTCTAAAATGTGAAGTTGGCCCAAGTTTAGATGAAAAAAAGTTGAAAAAAGAAACGATGTTGAGATTTACCGGTATCTACCCTGGTACAGCATATTATGACTTTAACAATACTAATTTTGTGTTATGGTGTTATGTCACAAAACAATCATTGAAAAGATGCATTACATCTGTAATTTTAAACTAGTTTATAAAGCTTTGATTTACATGTGCCAACTTCTTCCTTGCCGTTATATGTTGTAGATCATTTTATACACTCACTGTAGAGAAATGTATTTTATCAAACCCATATGGATATATTAATGCTGTGGTATTTCTAAGGTCAGTGTTCTCTCCACGCTCTATAAACCTGGCAGTCTTACCATGTACTATGTAATTATTAAAATGACATGCTTGAACTTATTTTGAATATCTACTACACATATGCAATTTAGATCGTATCACTATGCAATTTACATGTACCTGGTAGCCATGGTGATTAGTAAATTAACTGGGAAGAACACTGAATATTATTGCAAAATACATGTAAGCCACATTTTCCAGTTGTCATTCTTTTATTACTTCTCAGCTGTGGCAAAAAAAAATATTTATTTTGGTTATTTTGGCGTTAATTTGTTCTCATTTTGTCAGCGTCTCCAACATGTTTTGTTTTATTCATACAAGCATATCTGAGGCGAATATCCATGTGGTACACTTAGATGGATTCCATAGTCAACTGTGTGTGTACATACTCTATCTTTGGCCAACTTTTTTAGTAGTTAAGAGCTCCTTCTCATCAACTCCATATTTTGCTGTACAGTCTTGGAAAAAGTGCTAGGTCTGATTTACCTATTTAGCAGTTTACAAAATGTTAGTTATGTAGCTAAGTTTGGTGGTTTTATAAGATATATACAGTTATCTAGCATATGAGTACTAGTGTGGCCAGTTTATAATCTTCACAATTTACTGCAATAAACCTACATCCAGACCAATGGGTCCCATGATTGCTACCGATGTATTTTCAGAAACTCCACAGATTTGTACTCAGCCACAGTTTTTATCATATGCAGATTAGTTATTGTTGTAGTTTCGGATCTGGCGCATCACCGGGTGATTCTGAACTTAGAGCTTGACCAGGTGTAAAGGTTCGGAATTTTGGATGTGATAGATATTTCAACTACTGAAAAAGTTGGCCAAGCTGGGTTTGAACAGTCACTTTCCTATTGGTAGTCAGTACATATTGCTGACAATAACTGTGGCCATTGCATTTGAAACGACTATGCAAAGGCCATGGCCTGGTTGAAATAATTCCATTGCAATAAAAGTATTGGCATGGAGATGGGGGTTGTTAGAATCACACAAAACTGAGAATTACCATATCCATTATGAATACTGTTGAATGAGCTAGGTATAATATTAGTCGTATCACCATTGAAAACTGTCCATAGATTTGATTTGTGGACATGTAAGCATCTTCCAAAATCACACTATTTAAACTGAGCGATAAAAAATGGAAATAAAATATTGCTAGCA